CCAAATTATAAAGTATTATGCATCAAATCATTCCAATGAATGGTTAGATCACACAAGTCCGTAAAGAGGTAAGACATGTTACAAGTCGCTTATTTTTTTCGAAAAATAATGACAAAGGTAAGCATTTAATCTGCTACTTGAGTTATCTTGGTTTGGCGTAAAATAGGTATAAAGGATAGATAGGATGTGTCTGTGGCGTGATCTTGCGCGGCTCCGTCGGGAAAATGAGGAGAAGAGGATTTGTCATCGCCTGCGAGGCGACACCGGAAATACGATTTGTACGTGCGATCGATCAAAACAAACCTTCGTCTCTTGGCACCGTAGCGGCGGCAGTGGCAGCGGTCGCTCTATCCGAGGCGATTCGATGAGCTAACGCCAACTTAACGCTACACACCCCACTGAGCCGCACTCGGTCAGATAACTCGTGGATTTTCGAGCACTCTGCAGACTCTCCAATCGCTTCCTCACTTGTGGATTCCGCCACCGCGGTGTTTAATTCGCACTGAGAACTTTCGCGAAATTTTTCACGCAAAGGGAATCCGAATAGCCGAATCGTTACACGAACTGGATAAGGGGAATCAATTTTTAGATTTTCATAGTCACACATGTAATAAGTAATATATCCTATTTACTTTTAAACAATCAAAGAAGTATAGGCTTTTTAATGATAATAATCAATAACCGTTAAAAAGCCTACTGAGAGCTGACGCTAATTGCAATTGCGAATTACAATTTTATTACTATCTAATGCAAATATAATAAATGTTTCGACCCGAATTTTAGATCCTCCTCAGTATTACTTTAAATAACAAATTACTGCATTACGTATAAAGACATTGTTCTGTCCAATCGCTTGAACGATTTTTGTTTCAATTGGATAGAACAACGTCTTTATATATAATACAGTAATTTATTTGTTATTTAAAATATTAATACTGAGGAAGACCTAAAATTCGGGTCGAAACGTTATTATATTTGTGCATTAGATAGTAATAAAATTGTAATTCACAACTACAACTAGCGTCGGCTCCCAGCAGACTTTTTAACAGGTCAATGTAACTGTTATTTAACAGGTTATTATATATAATAAATTTTATATATAATAAATAACTTTTATATATAATAAAATAATAATTATATAATTCCATTTAAAGCTTTGTTGTAGCTGTTTTATTGCCGGAAATAAAACGCTCTTTATTATTATATATAGAGAATTCAATCTCAGTGAAATTAAGAAGAAGTCAATTTCAACAAATGACTAGATATAGAAATCCTGTATATTAAAAATTAATCTCATGGGCTGCAAAATAATACAGATCTTTTTGATTCAATTTCTTATGATTTAATTAATAGTTTTTAATTATGAATTCTCTCTAGGTATCATTTATATCACTGTTTTAATTTTCATAACAAATTTCTGATAGAAGACAAATTTAATAAGAATTTATAATCAGCTCTTTTCTCGATCACATTCTGTTAATATAGGGCTTGCCATTATCTTTTCTAAGCTCTTCTACTTATTTATTTAACTTTAAAGAATTTTATGGATTTGATGACAATTTCAGTTAATTTAACATGATGCCTGTAATTATTTTAATTATTCGACTTTTAATTGAACTACAATTTACAATAAATGGAAGATTCAATCATTAGAAATTTACAACCATTTCATATTGTTAATACATACTGAAAAGGACCTAAATCCAGAATTGAAACATATGCTATTTGAAATTTTATATATTAATTATTATCGAAAATAATTTAAGCATTGTTAACTGTGTTGGCTCATACAATCTTTCATACTCATTAATGTACACAAGTTGTACATAATTGATAGAATTTGGGGGGAAAAGATCAGTGAATAATTATTTTCAATAAATTGCTAAAGTAAAAATAAAAAAATGCCCTGTGATTAGTTCTTATGCACTGCATATGTCTAAAGTTTGCAGGATTGAAATCCTTTACGATAAAGTGAACTGTTAATAAATATATCGTTTCTATGAAATAACAAAATTGTTTTGGAATATACGAGAAAAAATTTGTTTGAAATTGATATAATCGATTACGATCTTGATATGTTCGTTCCATCCATAAAAAAAAAAAACAAATAGAATGCGTCACATATACAATGATCATAAAAGATTCAATTATTGTGATTATAAATAATTACACAAAAAAGAAGAGTAAACGCACTGTTATTTTTCTAAAAATTGTGTACACATATTTTGCTATCCTGAATTAATCGAATTTTAATTTTTAACATAATAGACTTAATATGATAAACAAAATGTATTTTATTTCATTTATTATGTTAAGTCTATTATGTTAAAAATTAAAATTCGAATAATTCATATTTATGACAAATACTTCATATTTATTATTATTATAAATAATATAATAAATAATACAATAAAGAGAAAGAAAGCCAAGATTGGTCAAATTTTGGATGTTACAAATAAAATATTATATCTTCTTTTATTAATGCAATTATATCTGGATATAATTACATCTCGATAATTGCAATTATATCTGGAATAAATTGATTTAATTAAAGAATATATAATATTATTTGTAACATCCAAAATTTGATCTTGGCTTTCTTTATTGTATTTTGATGTATTCATATATGGTGCTTAAAATTTTTAATATAATAAATAATATTTATTATATTATTTATCATATTTTTTTCGATGTGTTCTCGAGTTTTTTAAATTTATAACAACATTAAATTTATACACACATGTACAATATATATCCATTGCTAAAATCATTAATATTTTCTAGCATAGTCTGCCAAAAATCAGTATGTTATAACATGATATATTAAAAGATAAACATAACAAAATTATCAAAGATTAAGGGGAGGAAGTTATTGAATAAAGACATCGCATTTAGATGCTCCTTTTTAGCTTGGCATTTTAACTAAGTTATACGACGACTATCGGGATGTCAAGGGATAGAAATTATGATCTCGCGACGGAACAGCGAAGGATCCCGCGGGAGGAACGAATCGGTGGGCTCGAAGGATACGACGAGGCGAACGAGCAACGTGAGGACTGGAAGGCGTAAGAGAATGGAAATCAATACGTGAAGTGAGCAGCCAGTTTCAGGCAGAAGTTGCCGGCTTTAGAAAGCCTTGAGACGTCGTCTGCCCATCCTCTTCGGACCCTTGTGTTAAGAGAGCTCGAGCAGGGATGGGCGAGAGCGAAGGAAACGCCAGTGACAGAAAGTTAGAGGAAGCGAGAAGGAATAGGGATGGGTATATGAGAGAACAAGAAAGAGAGAGAGCGGAAGGGAGGGAGAGACGAGAGGTTCCATTCAGGACTAATGGGGTTAAACGCCTTAGCCATCAACCGAACGCCTCCCTCTTGATTCTCGGACGTTTCGATTCGTCCGGGGCTAGAATTCGAATTATCCGTAATATCTCCGGACATAGTTTACGTTCGCTGAGACTTCTTCTCGCAAATTAATAGGAGAAGTGTGTGCGCGCGAATAGAAAAAAAACGTCGCACACGGCAATTATCTTAGAAACGTTCTTAATCATCACGATGTTGTCCCTTTAAGTGCTGATTTGAAAATTCCTTATTAAATACTCTTTTAAAACTTAAATCTTGAAATCTCATTAGTCTAGACCTAGTCATAACCTTGCTTTAAAAGGCCATAAGCTGTAAAACCGTAAGAAATTGACCAATCACAGTCGATTATTTTTCTCATGTCCAATGCTATTTTAGAGCTTTATTATGCCACATAAATGTTGGCATAGTTAATGCAAAACACCAATTGCAGAAACAGAATTCGTTGCACGTATGATGGTTATGTGCCATCGGCATTTCGTAGTCGTCATCTAGAAGTCGTTGAGTTTTATGCTTTTTGGAGGGAGAGGACAAGAGAGAGAGAGAGAGAGAAAGGGAGGGAGGGAGAGAGGGAGAGAGAGAGAGAGAGAGAGAGAGAGAGAGAGAGAGAGAGAGAGAGAGAATTCCGTTCTCGTGATGGCCCATCGTAATGGAATGCCGGATTAAAAAATGATCAAAAATCGACATGAAGGGATCTTTTGATATACTTTTTAACGATCTCGATGAGGTTTCACGCGTCTTAATCTTCTGATCGCATACGCAATTTTGACAATGACTTTTTTTTATCTTGTCCTATATCATAACTGTAAATCTCATTATTAGATTATGAATAATGATGATTATGAATTTACGTATTTTAACATTACGAATTTAATTGTAAGCATCAATATTCGGTTCAATATTTTCGATATTATTCTTCCTATAGCTATGAACTTGTTAATAACTTTCACATTGTTATTTTTGTTTTTAAAAATGATCTCCAGTGCATATCGATAAACGTTGACATTCTACAATTTTATAATTAGAAAATACAATTTACCTTTGTGTGCCATGTCGTCAGCAGTGACCGAAGCTATGAGGCCGGTTGCGCCCGGCCATGGAGCGACCGCAGCGCCCAGTTGCTGCGAAGGCAGAATCTTCGGGCCTTTAAACACTTCTCGTTCACTGAAACCATAATTAATATCATTAGAAAAAAATCTCAACCTCGTACATAGCAATAACATTTTTGAATGGAAAGACATTATTTCCATCCAAAAATTAGATTATCAGATCAATTAATCGTATGATTGAGAAAGCAAGAAAAATATTACCTATATTATAAATAGTACCTAGCTTCGTAATGTAAATCTGAAACTAGTGAGATATATATACATATTGGTAAACACAACTATAAAATGACTTTAGACAATTAATAACGCAAAAGAATAGTGCTTGTACCGAAGATACTTGACGGTTTCGATGACCCATCCAAACTGCCCCGTATTAAACGTCGTAGTTAATTCGCCCGCTATATGCTCGAAAACTATATGTATATCTATAACACTTGTGTAAATCTGTCATTTGCATATCGCGGTCGCATATGCGTTGCCTTGAGCAGACAAATAAACCGATCTCTTCCCGCGCTGTTACCTCTAAACCGCGCGGTTCCTACCCTACCGCAACGTATCCACACAATCTACTTTAACATTGCGTTCTACAAAGCGCACAGGAAAAAGGAAAGATACGTATATATATATATATAAAAAAAAGATTTAAAAAATTTTAGAAAAATTAAAATTCGAAGAGATAAATAATAAAAATCTTTTAAAAATATTGATTAACTCATATTATACAATAACAAACTTCTGTATATAAAAATAAAGGCAAGTAAAAATCAATGCGAATGTCGGTATGTAAAATTACAAAATTTTAATTATATAATATTAAATTTACTTTAAGAAAATCGAGATGATAATATATATAAAAGTTTACGTTATTCATGTTTCGGCTGCTTTTTTGATGTCTTCAGATGTCCAAAATAAATAAATCAAGAAGGAAAATGCAACAATATCTTTCCAATTTTCATGTTAAGTAACTCCAGAAATTCCAGAAATTCACAGAACGGTTGAAAGAAAAAAGAAAAATTCTGGAGACTGTGAACTTAATACATTAAAGGGTGAAAACAGAATCCTGGACTAATATATATATATGGACTAATATATATATATATATATATATATATTCTATAAAATCAAACAATTTTTGTTTCAATTTTTTGAGTTGTAAACTCACCATTAGAACTGCAAGTAACACACAGAAATATTTTGAATACAAAATTTGTTAAAACATTTCTTAAATAAAAGTCAAATTATTAAGATAACAATTGACCGCAAATAGATATTGATTAAGAAAACAGTCATGATAACGCAAGTTTTGTTTTATAATAGAAAAATACGCAGAGTGAAGACCTCTCTGTGTCTGTTTGGAGATTGAGACTTATTTTGTTTCTTAATGTAAATCATCTCTGATATTAGTTATTTACTGTAACATTCTTCATCCAAAGTTCTTATATTATCCTAATCGAAATGATAGTCGAATTGTAGCCTATGATCGATAATTACCGAACTGATAGACGAGTCCCAGCAGATATGATTACGATGTTCACTAATTCATATATGGAACGATAAGCCATACAGAATCAGATGAATTATCATTACTATTATTATTATTACTCTTTTTATTATGAGTGTTGTTCTACACCATAATTCTTAATAATTTTACTGACATATGACATTCATGTTATTGACTCTTACATGCCCTTATTTTCACATATTGAAAACTCTTTTATCTTAAATAAAATTTAATAAAAAATTTAATTTAGAGTTACAAGATAAATTGTTGATAAATTTTTATGTGTGAGGCACTGGTAAAAATTATAGCAGATTATCAAAATAAATGATTTCTTAATTAATATTTATAATAATTTCTATTAACATTTTTCAAATTTATGTTATTTATTAACAGAGTTATTTATTAATAATTTTACTTGCAATTATTAATAATGTATCATTATACAATATCAGTCGATCTTCATACTCTCAAATACAAAGAACATAAATCATCCCTGAAACGAATGGAATCTCGAATGACATTATATTGATGACATGAAGTGTTTTAATTACCGAGGATCACGCTCGTTGAAGATGTGAACTACTTGCGAACGTAACACCCTTCGTATATTTTTCACTAGTGCAGACAGAAAAAAGAAGATGAAGTGAGAGTTCGTGGTACTAGAGGGAATGAAAATGGAGCTAAGCGTGATAATTAGCGTCGGAAAGGGTTAGTCGGTTGAAAGCGTACGAGTTGTATCGCTCCATATATAAAACGCATATGAGAAACTATAAGAAGAAAAAGTTTGTGAAAGGAGTTTAAATGCGAGAGGGTAAAAGTCGTATCGAATCGTTAACGGCATTGCAAAATATATTACGGAAATTAAAAGTAATCTCTAGAAATTTCACTTACAAATGCTTCCGTTTCATTCGCTTCTATTAAATCGGGATCAATTTTGAATGTCTTAAATATGGAACATGTTTTATATGTTTTATATGTTATAATTTGAAAAGAGTAACAATTAATACTTAGACAGCATAAAATGAGAAATAATTTTCAAATTTGAAGTTGTGACAAAAAGCGGTATTCATAGTCGGATCTTATATTTAGGATCGTTTTAAGTACAATCTTAAAATATCATGAATTAATCAGAGAGAGTGTATCAGCATCTTAAGACATTACTGACAGTCTTAAAATAAGAACGGACTATAAATACTGCTCAAAGATATCTATTTAATGCTAACTCTAAATAAAATAAAACAAATATTGCAGTATAGTTTAAATGATATTTTATTAGAAAAATATTCACACAAAATAGTGTTACTTCATCAATATGCAAATTGAGATATATGTTTTTCCTACGAGTTAGCAGAAGATTGAAGAAAAATGTCAAAGCTGACAAAGACATTTCTCTCACAAGGATGTTTATGCAAGGTTCATTGAATCGAATCAAATTCACGTTATAATTTATAAGACGATTCACTTCCGCAGATAGAATTCAAGGCGAGGTAGCACAAGCGTCTGCTCAGAACACTTCCTCCTTTTTCCCTTTCATTATCCACGATGCTCTTTGCGCTACAATACAAGAGAAACACTTCCTTGTATGTACTAAGAAGACGGCACGGGAGATGAGATACAGAAAAGAGAAAAGAGCACGAGAGGCGCGAAAGGCATACGTTTATATACGAGAGAAAGAACAAGAGAAACGAGGGGTGGAAGGAAGGAGGTCAGAACGCATTGCATTCGCATATTGTGCAAGAGGATTACCTCGGATTATGCCCGACTAAGCGCAAACAGGATCACGTCACTTCTGTTTGCAAGACGCCAAGCTGTCGATTTAGTGAACTCAAACTCGATTCTATCTCGCGCGGATTCTACTTCGCCAACGGAACAACGATTTCTCGAGAGACTCTTTCTTAATCATATGCAATTTAAATTCGACAAGATTAAATATCTCATACAAAGAGAATTTACTACACGCGTGATCAACTTTTTAAATTTCTCTCTCTTTATTATTATAAAATAATGTACTTAACGTAAGATAATATTGTGTTTCTTGATAAGTTATAATCTTAGAAATATAATCTGTAATTATAGAGAAATATTGTTTATTTATCATATTTTACCTTTCGTTCAAATATTTCTCTTTCAAATCAATGAGATGCGATTTTTCAAATAACTTATTTAACATTAAATGTTTTATGATTATTCGGTAAATTAATCTTTTATTAAATTAAAAACATACGCCAATTAAATGTCAAATATTTTTTATGATCGCGTTAACCTTGAAACGAAATTCTTCTAAACTTTGGATAATTTAGAGAAAATCTATGAACTCGATTAATTGTTTAAAGAATCAAATTATTAAAAGCATATTATCATTGGACGAATAGAGGAGTTCTTAAACTTCTTGAATTGAAATTAAAATTTTCCAAACTGTCGAAAATCGTTCGCTGCTAAGCTAACAAATGAGATGTGAAGAATAAAGTTAGAGCGGAAGCACAGAGTCTTGCATAACGCATACTGCATAAAAAAATGAACCATGCAATCAAAATCCTTCATTTTCTTTCTTTCTATGAAATAAAAGACTCTGATTGGTTGATTTTTTGCGACCTATGCATTATGCGTTATGCAAGAATCTGTACTTTTGCCTTTAACGCGTAGTTACCGCGGGAGATAAATTTGAACTCTTCTTGAATGCTCCGCAAACGCAACGCAATGCAAAGCCGATTCTACATTAGTTGCTGAAACTTGCCAATCTGAAACTTGCATTTTGAAATCAACGCTTCATATTGGCTGTCGAAATAAACTTGAGATCAACTTGTAACTAATGTAGAATCGGCTCAACGCAACGTAACGCAACGTAACGTAACGTAACGCAACGCAACGTAACGCAACGCGGCGAGACGCGAGGTGTAATGGAGCGGTGGCGGGAAGGTAGCATTATACACGCGAATGGTAATAGGTTCCATATCCACGAGCTGCCGGCGCATTATGCTTTACATTTCCGGCGAAACACTGTTAATGGCACCCACAACCGTCGCTACCGCGACTACCGTCGAAATTCACCCCCGTAATATACGCCCAACAACCCCCGCAGGCATTAACCGCTCGCGCTACCGTATAAAGTGACTTCCGCCTGCGATTATGTTCGTCGTGAGCACGTACACGTTTGTGCGTTTGTACATTAATTATTAATTAATACCGAAGAAGAATGAGGCCGTGTATTATCGGTGGTAAACTGTTTCACGTAATCGAGGACGATTGAGAGATAAATCGCTTTAGCATAACGTACACAGCTTGCGCGGGATTAATTAGTTCGATTCAAAGAACCTGTGCCTTTGTATTCTTTTTTTTTACCTTCATTATGTTTACACACACTTAGACGCAAAGACATATTTAACTTTTCTTTATCAAAAAGCTTATGTAAATGTTGTATTTGTTACCTCTTAGGAAAATTTGACACACATATACATCGTTACATAATCGTTATGTAATGAAATTTACATCATTATTACTTTGAGAAATCTACGTCTCTCTCTCTCTCTCTCTCTCTCTCTCTCTCTCTCTCTCTCTCTCTCTCTCTCTCTCTC